GAATTTGATAGATCAGCAAGCCGGTTCAGAGCTTCAACTACAACCAAGGGATGATAGAGAACAAATTAGAAGCCTGCGCACCTAATATCAAAAGATTCTTCTCGGGCAAGCGCTTTCCATTTGCGACACTGTCCAGCATGGACGACCAGATGTTTTTCTTGGGGCCATCTTTACTTGACGGTCGACTATTGTTTCCAGACATTATGTCCAAGATCGACCCTCCTCAACCTGTGCTGACCATTCCAACTAGTTGAAGTCTTTATCAGAGCTCCGACCTGCTTAACGCGTCGATCTTGAGGCCTTGCGCACAGGGAAGGGAAAGAGGCGGACAGTGTCAGGGGACGTTCAAGATTGGGTGCTGTAGCTTGTGATCCTGCCCGCAAATCGACGGATGAATCGAACTTGAGAGTAAGCGATATAGTCAATAGGTTAAGTCCAGAAATATCCAGTTCTAATAGTAAATAGAAGTTCTCCTCTAGAGCAAATTAAAGTCAAACTGCTTGGATGTAAACAATGTTTCATAATATTATGAGTTTCCCGCTCCGTCTTTGCGGGTGGGACCTTGCGCGGAGCCCACCCGTGATACCATGACCTAGGAGCTTTTGCGAATGTCAAGCGACCTCGTCATCTTCACTTTTGCCAAAGACTACATACAACAACCTGTCAACTACGAAGGTCGACTATGAATGCTATTCGTCAAACTCAAGCGCTCAACAAGCGTGAACTTGAAAATGCAGTGTACGTTCTGTACATTCTGAATCTTACAGCTTCATATTACTGACATGATTGAAATTTCCTAGCCCACCTGAAGCTTCCTGGCACGCAGATTATCGGGATACGGCCTACATTTACATCGGGGGCCTGCCATTCGATCTCTCAGAAGGTGACATTATAACAATATTTTCACAGTACGGAGAGCCAGTTCATGTGGATCTGATACGGGACAAAGAAACCGGGAAGAGTCGAGGATTCGCGTTCCTAAAATATGAGGACCAGCGCAGTACAGATTTGGCTGTGGATAATTTGACCGGGGCAACAGTCTTGGGCAGGATGCTTCGAGTGGACCATGCGAGATACAAGAAACGTGACAACGAAGAAGACGAGGATAACGTTGCGAAACTGATGGGCGAGACTACTGATCGGAAGGCAAGGGGTGAGGATACTGATGACGAAAGAAGACGCAAGAAGCGAAGGCCCAGTGAATCCAGAGAGGATGAGGTGCGGAGTCGGCCCCTGCTCAAGGAAGAGAGAGAACTTCAGGAGTTGATGATGAACCATGATGACGAGGACCCTATGAAAGAATATCTCATCGAAGAGAAGAAGGAAGAAGTCGCGCGAGCTCTTGAACGGTTGAACAAGGAGAAGAAGCATTCTCACAGACGAGATTCAAGTCGGGAGCGATCGAGCCGCCATCACCGCCATCGTCATCACCGTCACCGTGACGAGGATCGATCTCGCTCTCAAGAACGGAGACATCGGCGTGACCGGTCATTATCCAGAGAGGAGCGTTCCCACAGAGACAGATCATCGCGGAGAGAAAAATCTCACAGGGAGAGATCGCCTGCGCGCTCCCGCTCCCCAGTACCACGAAGGGATCGTGAAAGAGATGATCGTCGACGCTGATACGAAATCAAATGATCAATTGCTGCTGCGCCTGTCCGTTCTCTAGTGATTAATAGAGGAACATGCGCATCAGGTGGCAACTTGCAGTAGAACGGACTTCGAACCGCCTACTCGAACCTCTGGATTGGGGCTACCCAGCGCACAAGAGTCCTGCTCATCTTTATCAATGACAAGAAGGAAATTGGCGTGGTAAACCCTACCAATACGTCCCATATTGTTCGAATCATATCGTTGGAACAGGAACAGTTTTTCGAGGAATGATAGTTTTAACTATTACATTACCAGGTGCATATCTTCTATACTATGCATTAATTTCAACCCGTGATATCAATGTGGGGAGAAAGGAGCTGCCTCAACCGGCCCCGAGATATCTTTTCCAACCCTCTCTCACGCAATGCCGCTTCCCATCATCCCCTTCGCGAATCACAAATTTCTCCCATCGCCCATCTCGGCCAGAGCCTACCACAAGTATGGTGCGATCGTCGGGCCAGCCCAGGACGCCTTTTGACGGTCGTGCAAACGATGTTCCTAAAGAGGGAACGTAGAGTGACCCTGGCGGCGACTCTTCGCCAATCTCGAAATGGGCACTCGCGAAAGAATATACGTCAGAGAATACTCGCGGGAGCAAGGGAATTTTGCCTAAGATTCCCCATTTCTGGTTTGTCCCTTCCTCCGACGGCGAGGAAGGTGACTGGCTTCGGCGGGACTGATTTCGTGGATGGGGGATATCGAACAGATGGAGCGTAGACTTATCCGATGTGACAGCTAATATGTTGTTCGAAGGTGAAATCGCAAGTGAGAAGATCACCGCATGGTCAACTCCTCGTCGCAGTTCAGCCATCTTTGTGCAGTTGCTCGTAGAAAACACTCGTATCAATGTACCCTGAACAGTAACAGGTCAACCATGTATAGACTTCGTCACAGAAGGGGGCGATTATAGTACCGCTTCACTCGCTGTTGCCAGCACTTCACCGTCGGGACTTAAGGCCATGGCACGCAGCGGAGTACTATGAGCAGGTATGATGCTGACATTTCCCGTTTCCAGCTCGACGATCTGCACCTGCCCTGGAGATCTTCCTGGAAAAGCGAGTAACTTCTGCCCTAGGCAAGCCAGACCGATCGGGTTGTCGGTCGTTTCGAAGACTGAGAGCTTCTGTGGAGGATTGGAAAAAGCGAAAATGTGTATGCTATTCAATAAAGCCACAACGATCCGCGATTTCGATAGACGAACACCGAGGACAGACGTACGGAACTCGAGTGTTATGACTGCTTTTTGTTTCGCATCGTCCCAGATCACCAACTGCAAAGAGTCCCACGAGTCAGATTTACCAAAATATGCAAGCTGTCTAACGTAGAAAGCTGCGCACCTTGTTCTGAGGAAATTTGGGATTTCTTCCTCCACCAACAATAGCCAGGTAGTTTGACTGGCCTAGCATTACCACTACACCTATTCCAGCATTGAAATCTGCATTGTCGAGAAGAAAAGGGCAGTTAGAAATGGCGCATGTTCAGGGGAGGATGTATGTACCCCGTGATACTTTTAGCTCACATGGATTCGCGTTGAAGACTGTGGTTGATCGATCGAAATTTAGCTGTGCTGGCTTTGCGACGCAAGTCTCTAACGCTATTGATCGCTGGAGGCCAACTCTTACCACAAAATCCGGTATCCAGCCCAACAGAAAAGCAGCTATTGTCACTATTAAAGCTAGCAGAAAGAGAATATGGCCCCACGGACTCATCGATAACCTGTCGAGTATCCATAGTGAGAGGCGATGACAGGAGCCATGAAGAACCTATAGGTACTAGTCAATATTTGGAAGGATGGGAATCAGTGTCGATGAACAATATTTGCTAGTGCACGCTGAATGAACGACAGACAAGAGTAACGCCAGAAGAATACTGTCAACTCAAGAACGGCTCGATGTTGGATAAAACATTTTGGATTGGACCTTGTGATGAGGCCGCCAGGCTAAGACCTCGGAGCAATGACGAAAGGTTTCAAGCTCCCCCAGAATCACTAGGACTCAGATAGTGACTGAGGTATCCGCAGGGTCATACTTGGCGGTTATCATCACATGATCAACTACTGCTATCAACCTGGAACGCATGTTCTTGATCAAATTTGGAGCTTGCACTTAAACAACTATCAGTGAGAACAGAGGTCTTTGTGCTAGTGTTTGAATGTCACATAAGTGTGGAGCTGGTCTCATCATTAGGTCAGATAATGGAGCTCTCAACAAGCACCGCAGGTATCTTCGTGTCTCATGCATGAGCCGTCGACATCAGTATTTTCATTGAGCACTCAACACAAGTGTAGCGCTAGGCTACCTCTAGAAATCATTGTTGATATTCTGCCATACGAGCCAGGGGTAGAGAAGATGATTCTTTTCTAGAAATCCTTAAGAAAGCGTCCATAACCTGGTTTGACTGATTGTTCGAAGAATGGATAATGATTGTTCGTACAGTTGAACCAATATCAGCCTGCTTCTATTGGCAGAGACCCTTGAGTGGATTCAGAGCTTGGTCCTGTATATAGCTACTTCTGGCCCCGTTTCAAAGAATTCCGATTTATGACCAGTCTTAAATGAGGCATCCATTGTGTTCAAGCTCAGCATGGTGGTGCCGTATTTGCCTCAGGCAGAACATCATGATTACAGAGGACGTAAGGTAGATACCTTACCTTAGGCTTGAACTTTTGATACAATAAATTACTAAGGTATACACTGCATAAAGCCAGAGAGACCCACCACTGCACAGAGTATCAACCCCTGAATTGAATCCTTGAGCGCCTTCGCATTACTCTAGGTAGCTATCTCTTTTGCATGAGCTAGATTGATAATAAAATGGCATTTTAGAGACATTAGCTTACTGCGTAAATGCTCTAGCTGCAGAGAAAGAAACTCCGTACTCATCCACATCGCTCTCATCAATTAAGGTAGGCCTGCTCTTTCAACCTGGAGAAGCAAAGACCAGGATAGGGATAGTACACTACCAGTCGAGGTAAGAGTAAAACAATAAGGTACCGCATGGGGGAGGCGTGCTTGGGCTTTTCGACTGTGGGAGAAATGGGTTGGTGTGTACCATACTGTAAGATCCCCTGTATTTGCGTACCATGGAAACATCGATACGGTACCTGGACCTTCCCCCCTAAACTAGCTACACTCAAGTCTCCAACTGGTCTGTTGCTCACTCCATTCGATCTCAGGAGAGACACAACAGCATCCATCCATCTTTACCTCACTAACTTCCCCGGTTCCCTACTTTGGCTTCATAATCTCAGTCTCTGGAGCTGCCATTCGCTTCCCCCCTCTTTTTCTTCAATCTCATCTGGACTCAGTCTTTTTGCTCGAGTTCTCTCCCTTATCCTTTAGCCCACCATGTCGTCGGCTCTCAACGCGGTATGTTGTTTGCTTCCCCTTTCTGGCCTCTTTGCTGAGGAAGACAAATCCCGCCACTTCTTCATCCATTCCGCACAATTATTCCGATTGGGGTTCAATTACTACGACTCATATACATGTGTCTCTGTTGCCTTACTCTGAAGATCATAATCTGACATTCCACATAAGATTCGTCGCAAGAAAAATGTCAAGAAGGGTATCCAGTTCTGCTTGATGGTCTGCGGTGCTAGCGGAACCGGTATGTTTCGAGTCGTCTACCAGGCCATTGTTTCCCATACTGACCTGGTATTTTCTTTGCGCAGGACGTACAACCTTTGTCAACACCCTCTGCGGAAAGAAAGTCCTCGAGAGCAAGGATGCCGACGATGCTGCCAGCGCTCACATTGAGGAAGGTGTCCGTATCAAGCCTGTCACAGTCGGTAAGTTACCATCATTGCTTACCCAGAAGGAGAAACGGCGCTGATTTCATAATTCAAAGAACTTGAATTAGACGACGAAGGCACCCGAATTTCCCTCACCATCGTTGATACCCCAGGTTTTGGTGACCAGATTGACAATGAAGCCAGGCATGTAGAAACCAGTTCCGCATGTGCACCCCAAGACTGACTGTTCTTCAGCTTCGGTGAAATCGTCGGATACCTCGAACGCCAATATGACGATATTCTTGCCGAAGAATCGCGAATCAAGCGTAACCCTCGCTTCAGGGACAACCGTGTCCACGTCCTTCTCTACTTTATCACACCCACAGGTCACGGCTTGCGCGAGTTGGATATCGAACTGATGAAGCGTCTTTCTCCTCGTGTCAATGTCATCCCCGTTATCGGAAAAGCCGATTCCCTCACCCCTGCCGAACTCGCCGAGTCCAAGAAGCTCATCATGGAGGATATTGAGCACTACCGCATCCCTGTGTACAATTTTCCCTACGACATTGAGGAGGACGACGAAGATACAGTCGAAGAGAACGCTGAGCTGCGTGGGCTTATGCCATTCGCGATTGTCGGCTCTGAAGATTTCGTTGAGATCGATGGACGGAAAGTGCGGGCCCGGCAGTATCCCTGGGGTGTTGTGGAGGTTGAGAATCCCAGACACTCCGACTTCTTGGCTATCAGAAGCGCCCTGCTTCACAGCCATCTCGCAGATTTGAAGGAGATCACTCACGATTTCCTCTACGAGAACTACCGTACCGAGAAGCTGAGCAAGAGCGTGGACGGTGCTGCCGCGTATGTTGCTCCTAATATCTATTTTCGTCTTGTTTTTATTCTTCTGCATGATACTAATTCTCAGCTACAGTGGTCACGATTCCTCTATGAACCCCGAAGACCTTGCATCTCAATCAGTCCGCCTCAAGGAGGAGCAACTCCGTCGCGAGGAAGAGAAGCTTCGCGAGATTGAACTCAAGGTGCAGCGTGAAATCGCCGAGAAACGCCAGGAATTGTTGGCCCGCGAAAGCCAACTTAGGGAGATCGAAGCCCGCATGGCACGTGAGGCCAGCCAGAACCAAATGGCCCTTCATCCCGAGGCTGCCAACGGAGATGCTTAAATTCTTTTGTTCCATTTTCGAAGGCTGTTCTGTCAAAGCGGGACACAGTTTTGCGGGCTCGAACCGTCTGTGCTAACTTAATGGAACTTGTGGCACAGCGGGTTGTAACTGTTCATGGGGTTGATATTGACCGTCTATTCACGTTAATAGCTTCGTCTTGCTGAGTGAGGGAGGACCAGGGAAAATGCAGCGCTTCATTTCTCGATGACCGACACCATTCCCCTATTTGATAGAGCGGTATCTAAGACCAAGGGATGGTATCTGGCTGTTGCTCCCGACATTTGTTTTTCTCATATTTACCTCGGGCCTTATATTTCTTCTCATTCCACTGGAGATTTCGCCGATCTTCAGAATCCATGTTGCAATGCCCGGTGTCCGGAATAGCTTTTTCTAATCTTTTACAGTTGCTGCTTGTAACGCTGACTCCAATACCTTTCTTTGCTCAGTTCTCCCTTCCCCTTTGTCTTTTTCTGTCAACCGACACCTGTTCCATCTCAGCAGCGCCGCAAGATTCCCTCTGTTGTCGTTTCATCCTTTGTGTGCTCTCATAGCTTACGTCTTGTCTCTACTATCATTCTATGTTCAAGTTGAATAGTAGTATATGAGGAAGAAAAGTACATTCTCTACTATTGCCTGCGTAGTTGGATCGCAACCCTTGCGCATGTTTGTTCTACTTGTCAAGATTTCCACAAGGACGAACCATTTCTGTCAGCATGAAAAGGTCAAGAGAAGAAAGTGCTGGAGATCGACTGGAAGGATTGTTATTAATGAACCGGAAGGGCCAGCGCCAGCTTCCCCCGCGATTGATTGAGCTAAGATTCTCGAGACGTCACATGGAGGTGTAGGAAGACAACCGGAATCGAACAAAAAAAGCGGGAGGATTTATATGTAGCGAAGAGAAGATGAAAGAGTATAAGAGCAACGGGGAAAGGAACCGAACACGGATAAAGTAAAAGAGGTAGAAAATGGAGGAAATTCGAAGGACCAAAAAGCAAGTGGTATTTGCGCTTCATTGTACACAGCGGAAGTAAACAGATGCTGACCTGACACAGATTAACGAACAGATCAGCAACACAAAACATTAAGGTCTGAGAGCTGAGCGATATCCCTTGAAAATTCGTGGGGGGTCAACAGCAGCTGAAATGCAAGAGTCAAATGCCTCGTGTATGATAAGACGACTTTCTACGGAAACAGAAACATGTAATGGCATCGAAGGACAAAGGTCCTCTTTTGATTGTACCAGCCATCCAAGCGCCTTATTGTTGTTGGGGCTTGTTCCAGAAATCCAGACTGGCTACTACATCCTCGCCTCCTTCATCTTCGTAGGCGTACAAAATCTGAGACGGTATTAGCTATCCATTCAATCGGATGATAATGTTTGAACACACCTCTCTTGTGGAAGAATGCAACATCCGAATGTTCTTTCCAGTCATGATGTGTATCAGCTCACTTGTCTCAATGTGCCGGATTTCGATGAAATTTGGCTCAAAAGCAAGGATATAAGGGTATGATAGGGCAAACGCATTGGGGTTGCCCTCCCATGAGATCTTCCAATCCGGGCGAGCTCGCCACCCGTTTCGGTTCACGAAGAACGAGAAGTCGCTGTAGTTGAGCAAGAACTCGCCGTTCATTCGCTCAATATGAATCGGCTTCACGTTCTCCTTGCGTGCGACAAAATCAAGCGAGGTATCCGCCTGATCCAGAAGGGACTGCGTCTCAGTAGTCTCAAGACTGACTACCTCAAAACCACGAGCGCATCCCACGCAGAGAGTTGAGCGGAGGAAATGGATGGATGATGACTCCGCCGGTATGTAATATTCCTAAAGCGAAGTAATGAGTTCAACAGCCCCAATGCAATAGTGTAGCAGAATATACAAACCTTGAAGGGCTTCAGGGTATCCTGACCGCTCTGGAACATCTTGCTCACGGCAGATTTCTTCTTGCCCTTTGCCAGGTTGTCCATGGGCTCGTAAACCTTGATAGTCGATGACAGAGCAGATGTCTTGACAGAGCACACCAAATGCCGTCCAAGCCCAATCCCCGCTTTGAAAAAGTTCGCGTGACCTTGAATCTTCTTCGGTCGCTTTGCCATTGAATTTTGACCCTCCGCAAGCTCGAGCGCCTCCATTGGATAGGACGAGAGTGTTTTGTTCGCTAGCACCAAAAGTAGTTGGTACTCCTCCAAGGTGTCAATTTGAGTGACCTGGCTAGCATCCAGCACCCGTCTCGGCTTGGCAGACTTATCCTTGGGCCAACGCTCCGAGATGAAAATGCCACTATCAGTGCCATACACCAACTTCCTACCACCATCTGCCAAGAAACGTTAGCAAAATCTGCACAAAGGCGACTGCGCAAGAGGATAGTATTGGGAGTCGAAACGTACCAACAGGGACAAGGCAATTCACCCGGTTTGCAGACGTGAAAAAATTCGAACACAAAACAGTCTTGTTGTAGAAGTTACTGTTCCGTTCTCTGAGCTTTCTTTGTTGCTCTTCGACCATCTCGATGAATTTCCTTCTTTGCGTTGGCGACGTGGCATAGAGTGTCTGCTCGTAGCCACCCTTGCCTAGATGCCGAAAGGTTATGGGCAACCCATCTTTTGTGCTGGGAGGATTGGCGGCAGGCTTGTTGGAGAGCAAACTGGACGACGGTCTCTTGGGGACTCCAACCTTGGGAATCACTTCGTCCATTTGTGCGATAACCAACAGTTCGAGGGGGATTGGCTTCCGATAGACACGATACTCCTCACGCTTGTTGACGACTTTGATTCTCACAAGCAATACTGCATGGTCGAAGAGATAAGCAGTTACCTCGGAACTATCTGTTGAAGCCTTCCTGAATGCCATCTTAGTGAGCATTTGACGATTCTCCTCAGTCAACTTCAGGTCGACGTAATCGCCGGGGTTAAACTTCAGGGCTGAATTCAGCTGCACGAGGTTGAAATGGTTCTCGGCCCTTCCGCTCTCGGTATTAACACGCGACAGGAAATCTTTGATGAGTTTGATGGCTTTGGGAATATCTTCTTTGTCTGGATTATCATCCTTCGTGCTTTTCAAAACCTGTTCGAGAAGCAACGGATACCTCGCCAGACGAGTGGTGGGCTTGGTCAAGTAGCCGTTTAACTCCAACTTCCGCGACTCCTTGAGCCGTTCAGTCTCTTCCACAAATCTTGCAAAAGCAGGGTTGGATGCCTTCTCCTTCTCAAACTCATATTTACCATAGAGCTGGTTGGCACCATACTTGATGAAAGGGTCAAAGTTGGGTACATGCTGGAGGAATATGTCACCAACAGTCTTCACCACAAAACTTTCCTTTTGTCTGCCGTTGAGCGCTTCACACAAAGCACCATTAACTTTCAAAACTTCCAAGCAGTTGCCGAACACTGTTCGAATGAATTTCTCGCGCCGATGCTCCGGGATGGGGGATTGGTTTGCGTTGCCGGCCGAACGTAAAGGTCTCATCCAGAAATCTCGCAGGTACTCCAGATCCTTGACAAAATCACGTTCCGTGTACATGATCTCAAAAATGATTTCCTGGCGCTTCTTTTCGCGATCGTCGATACTGTCAGAAACTTCCTTTGGAACCATATTAATCCAGAGTTTCTGATTATCATTGTCATCATCGCCGTGAAGGCTGGCCTTCGAGGCGGACGTCCGCAAACCTGGTTGCGGCTTGAGATTCAATCTTGCCTGTTGTTCCAGTCTTCTTGGACACGCAATAGAATAGCACAGACTATCGCGCGTGCAGGTGGGCGAGTAACATTCTGTCAAAAGCGTAAAAACTCCATTGACCTCGGAACTCGGCGCCTCTTCTGCCATGGTTTCCTTGAATTGATAGATTTCCCCTGGAGCGTCTCGAAGTCGATGATCGTACGTCACATCGTGGAAAAACTTCTGCGCATCGAGCGCTCGCCCCAAAAGAAGAGCAAGATTTCGATCATTTGTCTTGATGATGTGAGCAATAAGATCCACGGCCTCCGCACCAGAAAACGCATTTTGATAAGACAAGCCATTCTTCTGTCGTTCTCCAAGCGGAATTCTCTCGCGAAAGCCATCAGCGACCCGTGAGAGTAGGGCGGGATACACCAGTGGGACCTTGCTCCGGCGAGAATTGCTGGAAACTAAAGTGGTCTGATTGCTGGGCCTGTGCGTCATCTGGCTCTGCATGCTCATGGTCCGATCCGGCACGATGGTCGACGCCATAGACATAGCGCGAGAGTTTGTTGAACCATCACTTGGCGGTCGCGGTCTCCCGTTTACACTATGAGCGCTCGTAGGCTCATCTTCGAAGTGATTTGTCGGGGGGTGACTTGGTCCAGATGGCTGCCTCCTTGTAGGGATCACCCGACCTGTCTGCGTGGTGTGAGAATGGTCGCGATCCATGGAGTAGGATGTCAGTGACATTGCGCGTTCATTCGCATGCCTCACTGGCACAACACGTCCTTGATCGGTGACCGGAGTCGTCGAGCTATACGGTTGTTGACGAAAAGCGCTTGCAGAAGTGTGATTGAAACTGCTGGGTGGCGGCTGCTGATACGTTGGCGGGCCAGTTATTCGCGCCATTGACCTTGATCGGTATGCATCCGAATTCAGAGCTGGGGGAGGCATAGGCCGACTGTATCCCTTGGCATCTGGATACTGTGGACCAGGAGTGGGTCTCGAATCTAACCGTTGGGGCTGGGGATAGACATAACGCCCAGGATATGGTCGCGGAGGATTGTGGGAAGATTGTTGAGGAGCCATAGCTGCGGGCCCTGGGTATGCTTGATAGTGTCCGTTCGGAGCTGCCGGTGTGTAGCCATTCGGTCCTTGACGAGCCGGTTGCGGGGGCGGCCTTTGCATTTGAGGATGTGGCACATGCGATGACATTGTGTGGGCGCGATCTTGCGAAAACTGGGGTGTCTGCGAGTTCATTGTCTGAGAGCGTCCAGGTGGCGGTGCCCCGCCAAATATTTCTGAAAATGCAGCGTCGCGCTGAAAAGAGGAGGCATGTCCATGAGG